TGTTTACTTTGAGTGCATTTTGAAGATTTTTTAGCATGAATTTATTTTCATAGTCGCATTGGTTATGATTAATGTGTGCTGCTTGAGAACAACTGAACAAAATTCATTCTAGGTCATAAGGAACTTTTTGCGATTGTTAATTACCTGATTCTATTTTGTTTTGTTTTGTTTATAATATCGCGTCAACGTAGTCTCTCCGCTGCAGTTGTGCGGTTTTGAAGCAGAAAGGGAACCGATCTCGTGAGGTGTTCTTCGAAATCGATTCTGATTTCAGAATAACATTCAGTTTTTGGAATGTTTCGAAACGAATTGTCTAGGCATTAAAAAATTTTCTTCAGTGATTTTTCATGGATCTATGAGGATTTTTTTGCTGTGAGCATTTGTTCATCTTTGCAGAAAGCGCAGCATTAGGCACACTCAAACAACAGTCGTTGTTTACATTATGTGAGGGGAGTGCAATTGTTGGGAGAACAGGAAATTGAGTAAACATCGCCGCAGGATAGAAATTTGAGTGATGAGATCAGGATGTGATCTGATTTGATCAATCACAGTTTTTTTTGATTCTTCGGCGCTATTATAGATGACAAATAAGAGTTTGAAATGGTTCGTGAAAAAAGCATCCAATGCTTTTTTTTTTCAAAATATATTCATTGTGATTCATTGTGATAAGAAAGTTTTCGTCGAACTTCATCGTGGAGAAAAATGGCATTTATAGATCGTTTGTTCGTCGAAAATTCGTATTTGTTTTCATCGTAGGAAGGGATGGATTTCAGTTGTCAGAGTAGGGAGAGGAACAGGGGCAGTAACGATAGGGTAATGCGACATCAGATAGGCGATGGTTGATTGGAATTTCTGATTAGTTGTTGATGGGTCGGTCAAAAAAGTATTTCAAATTCAACGATCGACGAAGTCTTTCAATATTCAAGAACACACCAGATCAGAGTTCAAAGTGTTTTGGTAATGTGTTGAAATTTGAACTGATTGAAGAAGAATGAGTGTTGCAGTGATGAACCGATTCAAGTGGATGTAGGCGCAATGATTGTTTGTGAGATACTGGCGAAACGTGAAGCGTGGTGGCCAAATTTACGTGTATTCGATGTGGCGGGTAGTGCGTTGCAGTCGGACGGCATCGACGCAATTAGTGATCGTATCACACAATTCATCACTCTACACCCTCGACTTCAGTATATCTCAATTTTGGATACACCTCTGAATCGACATCCCTATCAGTACCCGCATCACAGGGATATTCCTCTACAGGTGAGTGGCTTACAATCAACTGGTTGTTCATTAACTGAACTTGATGCCCAACTTGATGCTTCGTGCTTTTAGTATTGCATCCGTGCAGAGCTGATAATCATTTTGTTAGAAACTTGCTAGGGTTT